GCACCAGGAGGTGGCCCACTAAGTAGGCGCCGACCAGTCCGAATTCTATTCGTGCCACATCTGGCCCACCAAAACACTCCAACCACTAGTTCTTCATCAACTGCCTCATCACCGGCACCATCGACATCATCTTCGGCAACGTCGATGTTGTCCTCCAGGACTGCGACATCCACGCCCGCGTCCCCGGGACCGGACAGAAGAACATGATCACCGCCCAGGGATGCAAGGACCCCAACCAGAACCCCAAGATCGGCACCACGACGGACCTTCTCCTGCAGACTGCGCCCGGTAACCAGACCTACCCGGTCAGGGGGGAAAAAAGTTTACTCTGCTTTTCTATCTTCAGGGATGGGGGGAAAACAGGGGAGTTTCGATTTCTCACCGAAACAGGCAGGGTTGTTGATCAATCAGCACAGACTTCCTCGCCCCACAGTTGTACATGAGAGATGCTTCCTCTTTCTCCGACTGAAATCTCTTCGAATTTTGTCGGAAAAGGAGAAGCGGAAGTCCTTGCCAAGAGACAAAAATACGTGAACCAACTTGGATGGAAATCTACAAATATATTATAACAGAGTTAGGGGCATTTTTTCAGCATTTCAAATTTCCTACAACGAGAACGAAAGTAGAAAGGGTAATTGTGTCTTCACAATCATTATTAATTTTTTATTCATAAGGAAAAATACATCAATCTTGGGATTTGAACCATGGTCTTTCCAAACAAAGGCAACAACCATTACCGATTACACTAAAGAAATATTTTGTATGTTTTTAAATACCAAATCTGAAAACCTAAACTCTAAAAATCATATAAATCATATAAATTTTTCACTATTGTTAGCTGGCCCACTAACTCTCCCTAACTCCGTAAGTACTTTATTTTTTATTTGACACTTGAATTTTCATATTTTGATTATTTTGATATTTTAATTTGAGTTTAATAATAATTTAATTTATATATATCTTATAAATGAAGGATAATTTTAAAATTGCAAACCAAATATCATTGATTCGAATATTGCATATTGAACCGTAATATTTAATGTGCATATGTGATGTACAATTCATAACTTGGTATTAATTTTTAGAACTATTAAAGCAACAATATTGTTATGCAAACAGTAAGTGACCAGTTTTTTGAAAATTTTCGTTTGGTTAACCGTTAAATCCTAAATCTATTTATAATATGGCATGATTGGACAAATAAGTGAGTTTAAAAGAACACAACTTTTAAATACCAATTTTTCTATAGGATTTCAATTATTTAATTTTTTTTTATCTTATAGGGTAATTGACCATATGTATCATTCATAGTTACTTAGTTTAATATGAAATAAACGCAGTACAAGACAAATCATGAAAGTCAAGCTGGAGTTTTCATGGACGCATTGATGTGTTCGTGTGCCAAGGTAGGTACCACAAGATAGGTTAAATTTTTTTTGTTGAGTGAATAAGATTCTTTCAACTAAATTTAGAGTATGTTGGTTGATAAATAATTGTTTCATTGCATACAGTATGGATGGAAAATGTTATTTTCTTACTAATTCCGGTATTGTATTGTGCAGAATACTTTAACGTTTAGATATTGCTATATATGTATTGTTTCTCAAGCAAAAAAAAAAATATTGACTAAAGGTTATGATCATGCGTTCCCTATTTATACTACGCTTTTTTCAGACAAACACTTTTTTTGTTATGCCAATTTTCTTTTCAACCATAGGCAACTAAGTTACTACATCATTAAATAAACAAGTTATGAATGGTTATTCACGAGTGTTACTACCAAGATTGTTATACCTCTACCGGGAAGCTGCTTGGACTAAGTCCGACCAAAATCGTGTTCCAAAACGAGCTCTACAAAACAAAGGTCTGATCGTTAGATATGGAGAAGAAGAAAGAAGAAGGGGGAGGGGAGAGGCAAGGGGATGATGAGTGGATCTTGAGATAGATATTTTTTATGAAATTTGAGTTTTTAATAGATATAAGTTAATACATTTCGTTTCAGTCACTATATTATATGTAAATATATTTAGAAAAGGTTAAAACAACTCAAACAGGCTAGACTTCAATCAAACTATTAATGAAAAGTTATAACCATTAAGATTACAATGTTCATCATTGATGAAAAGTTATAAGAATTTAAAAAATGGAAAAATAATTTTGATCACATTAATGTCATACGAAATTCAGCATTACAAATAATTTAAAGAATTTAAATACACATCACAAATATATAGTATTCAAATGACATTTGGACCAACGAGTCGGACAACAAGCTAGTTGATTGGAAGGGAGACTTTGGGGAATTCACTTGGACCGAATTTCTTCGCGAGCAGAGCGCGGAACGAGCAGCGATTGGCAGAAGGCGACTTGGCGAGAGCGGCGAGTGGACGGAGACTTTGTCAATAAACAAGGGGGAGGGATTTTTTTTGTTTTATTTATTTTAATTATTTATTTTAATGATGTAGAAATATTAAAAGATTAAATTTATTTTTTATTAATTTTTAATTGTCACGTCAGACATTTAACAGTCAAATGTTAGAGTTGACTGGCACATCATATAAAGTTAACCAAAAGTGACTAAACGTGACCGTTTTACTAATTTGAGTGATCAAAATTGATATTAGTTTTTTCTAGTGACTAAACACATTTTAATAAACCCAATGACCAAACTTGGCATTTACCCAAATATATACTCTCATGAACAAATTCCACCTTTGCACCCAAAACCAAAATACTCAACTTGCCATCATATGCTTATGAGAGATTGAGAATTGTTAATTGGGAGCAACCAGTGGGGGACCCATGATTTTGAGATAGGTGTGTCGGCCCATAAAAAGAAATTAAAAATGAAAATAATTTAATTAAAAAAATATTTAAAAATAAACACAAAGATTGTATTCATAAAGTTCACCAATATTATTGTTTTTTACCGTAAACCACAACGAATTCTCATATACTGAAAAGATTTCTTGATTATATGTGTTCATTAGGATGCAAATGAAATTCTTTTTTATCATATTGTAGCTTGCAGTTGCAAGACGTAAAGTAAACTCTAATTTAAGATAGAAAAGCTCGAAAGGTGGCCACATGCGTCAACATGGAAGTTCGAATTAGAATGAGGATGTCGTCGGCACGACGCCAACAATTGGAGGATGGAAACAGGCGCCAACGTGAAAAGCAGTAACTAAACTAGAAAGCAATTTGGAAATTAACTTAAAGAAAAATCTATGGAAGAAGCTACAGGGAAAGACAACCTGAAATTCACTATCTAGTTACTTGACTTAACCATTAATTCTCATTCAAATTACCGAGGTTATCGCTATGTTGATAGCTATCTCTCTGAATACTCACTACATACTAAGTAACAAATTAATTGTTTACTCTTGTACAACCAACTAATTAATTACCTAGTTAAAGCCCGATAACTCCTATGTTTACATATTTTAATATCATTATTATGACAACAAAATTTAATGTAATAAGGTGTGTCAGATACAATTATCGAAAGTGTGTCGGAGGTCTCGTATTCAAATTTTTTAAACCGAAAAAATGTGTATTCCTCGCAAAAATTCGGGCGAAGCTGTGTTGGGTGACACACCTTAGAGATGGGTCCGCCCCTGAGAGCAACAAACACACAATATAAAAGAACATAAAATAAATGAAAAAGTTACCGGCCAATGGGTCGGGTCAAAAGCTTGTAGAAAAGTATAGAAATAGGCAAGAGGTGGATCGAAACTGGACGGCTAAATGTCTCCTTAGTTTTATTATTATCGCCATAACATAAAACGTAAAACTACTAAATTGCCCTTCATTAAACTAACTAAATTAAATAAAATAAAGTCATTAAAATCCCTAATAACCTTCGACACCACCGGCATCCCCTCCAAACTCTCTCTGCCGCCAGCATCTTTGCAATCCGCCTAAAGTTTCTCCTCGCCGTCGCCTACAATCTTTTCATCAATTCATTAGCGGCACGGCGGCACCACCCACCCAGCCGCAAAAGGATGCACCGTAGCGGGTAACAACCTCCAAACCAATTCCTATAATCCACCACTCCCATGTCTCTTCGTTTCCCAGAACCCTTAATCTGATTATGCAATTCTTTCTTGAATTGATGAGCCATGGAAAGAAGCTTCCTCCAATATTGCCCCGTCAACATTTTCATGATTGAGTTTGACTATGCAATTCTTTCTTGAATTGATGAGCCATGGAAAGAAGCTTCCTCCAATATTGCCCCGTCAACATTTTCATGATTGAGTTTGACTTTCTATTTTTTTTTTATGCAGCATCCTAACCCAATTAGAAGCGGGTTGGCCTATGATGCAATATAGAAGTGACTGGTCTCGATTACATTGTTTCCAATGAAGTTATTTCGTTCGATTGATAAGGTGGCGGCCGACAGAGTGAGGGCGGTGGTGGGAATCAAAACAGTTGTTTTGTGGTGATTAAGTTCGTTAAAATAAATCAGAGCAAGAAGTATAAATGGGTAATAATAATTTGTAAATTAGAGCGATTATAAAAAACTATGGCGATAATTAGCAACTTCCCGATCGAAAACCCTCAACCAGAGCATCTACGTTCGTTTGCATTTTATACTAGTTCCGGATTTACTGTTTGTTAATGGTTACTTAGCTATTACAATGCCACTTGGCAGACAACGATAGACAACTAATAAACTAACTGCACTAATATAACTTCTTGACTATAAATAAGTAAAGCACTGCATTTTGGGACGAAGGCTCGAAACGCTCACTATATAACTAATCGTCTTCAACTCCCGGAACACGTTTCTTCAATCTTCAGTAAAACCTGCTTCTCCAACTCACCTCTGCATCTTTGTTCTGCTCTGCTAGAAATGATGGCAACAGATCTTTGTGATGGCTTCAATAAATCTAGAAGGGACTGAACCTTGAACACATATATGTATGCATGAGTTGGAAAATCAGACCAGCCGACTCCATAGAGGTAACCTGAAAGGGAAATTTGGAATGTAACATATACACCGGTTAGTTTGGGTCTTGATGCAGTGCGATATAAAATACATACAATAAATAAACACAGTTTCTTTGCAGAGTGTGTTTCATACATCTCAGCTAATAGAATGCAAATAGTGGGTGTGAACCTATCCTTGAATAGCCGAAAGCCTGAAACCAAACATACACCAACAGGAACGCCTAATGCAAACAGTCGGCAGTTAAAAGCTACTTATCAAAGATTCAGGTGGTTACTGGTTAGGCTTTTCCTTTTAGAGGACGTTAAGCTGAAGTTTGTCTGTCAGGTGTCCCAAGGTTGGTTGGAATCAGACGCAGATTCTATTTTGCGTATTACCAACGTAGAGTAAGCAAACTTCAGGTTAACCACCCCAAGCCACCAACAGCCCAACTAATCTTAAGCTACAGTCACTGGTTCAAAAGTACAACACGTGGCCTGCTTGCACTTCCACTCCCCACATCTCTTCTAATAAGTGAGATCACGGATCAATTCCGGCATATTTAGGCCCTTACCTTTGATTCTAATGACTACACATGCAACAATTGCAGGGAACAACGTTCCAATAACAAGGATGAAGCAGATATGTTCGGTGCTTCAAGTAAATTAGAACAACATACCTGGAAACACCTGATGATCTAAACAACGTAATCACAATTCCCAAAAGCTACTCAGCCGTCGAAGGAACCTGCGAGTCATTAACCGAATCTCAATAACCACGGCATTAACAAATCCACGTCCTTGATGTAAATATATAAAAAAAGCACTTAGAACTTTCGCTTGACGCAATATCACCTTTAAGATTTTAACAGAAAAGTACAGTAGAGGCAGAATTAGCATGCAAGTTTATGGACCAGAGCCACCAGTATTCATATTTAATGTGTCCATTAAAGCCCAAGTGGAACCAACGAGCAGAGGTAGGTTAATGAGATTATGTCAATGGAATAACACATTATTGTTGAGCTTATTACTAAATCATGGGAAACCAGCTAAGTAGGATTCCACTCTAGAGAATTTCATGCGAGCTGTGAGCATGTGAACCGCGTAACACCAACTGATATCAATTTACGACTATCCAGACAAAACCCAAGTACCACCAAAGTAATTATGAAGCACTCAGATGGAAGTTAAATCACCATCTACGGGTGTAAACTGTGCACCGTTGAAATGGGTGGGAATTCCAAATCAATGACGCTAGTAACAAGAAAAGATATTCTCAGGCATTTTACCTTGGACTTTAGTATCTTCTGGCTGTCGCTGAAGTACTGATTGGGATGATTAATTCCAGCGTCGTTTGGACAACCATGGATGGCTTCGAATGTTAACGTGCATGCTAACTGCGCAGGACAAATGTTAGTTAAATAACGAGGGTAAAAGAACACAAACAGCAAGTGCAGAGCACCATTAGTGATTTTGATGATGACCTGATAGTGCTTATGTCGCACTTTGTCCATCACATCCTCCACCCCGCCACTGTTTACTCCCATCTTACACAGTGCCGCTCTTAAGTTCTCTTCGCTGACATTTACCCACCAATTGAACAGTGAAGTTAAAAGATTTGACAAGAAGACAAAGTGGCTCAGATACCATTAAATAAACAAGAAGCATCGAAGCATTACAGTTAGTCTGGAACCAACAAAAACAATAGAAATCATATTAGTTTGTTTGGAACCAACAAAAACAGTAAATTCTAATGGTTCCAAACCGAACTTATTTCATTTCAGATATTTCTTGTTGTGTTGCATCGACAGGATGAAAATTAGGAACTAGTATCCACTTGACCTAAAACTTGAGCTTTCCAATGACTATCAAAAGTTGCATCGTAGGAATTGGAAAAGAGACGGATGACAAGCGTATATTTTGTCTAATATTGTTAGAATACATGTTTCTTCACAATGCATCATTTTTGTTGTTTCATTTTAGCACAAAATTATGTTATTCAGACTCCATATAATCTTTGTATAAATCCAAAAAAAATCAAGAGTTCACCACAATCATTGCAAAACAAACACTGATTTTGACATAACATGAATTCTACAAATTTTCTGTTCAAATAATTTTCACAATTCCACTTGCAAGAAAATAATTTATTATATTTCATAATACTCTACAATACATGCTTGTCATACAATCCATCCCAAAAAAATGAAATGGGTCTCACTCTAATTAATTAGTATTTTGTTTCTCCACTACATTCTCTCTTAGACAGAGCCAGTTCTATTATTTATAGAAACACTGCATCCGTTTCCATTAAACTTGTTCCATACCTGTGAGAGAAAAAGTCGGTTCCAGATGGGTAGTAAGCTTTAACCTGTTAGTTCTATAGTTGGAGACTAGTAGCTCATATTGAGTGTACACTTGATTGAAAACGATTGATTGGATACTCGTCAATCAAGTTGAGGTAGGAGGAAATGACTATTGTGACCAATTCCATGAGATGACAGAAACAACCCACAGGGAATAAGTCAATAGAGTTTACCTAAAATGACGATAAGGACATCCATGATGATCTCCTACACTAGGAGTTAAGGAGATGATCTTTTGACATGAGTAAGGCGTATAGTCCTGCAATAACCAAGAACAAAGAAGTGTACACGTAACTAAGGTATGTCCTATAATCTGATTTGCTACTTAAAGGAAGAAGACTGATATAACATCGGAAACTCACCACTCTCTTCCCTTCTTTGCCATAATTGTGCCGAATGCTGTATGCATATTCTTTGTCAAACCTCTCTGCTCCAACCTGTAACAAAACATGTAAGTAACAACGAACATTCTTCAGTGATATGCCCAGTAAAAACGCTTGGAATTTGCTTACCTTTTGAGAGAACTCTGCCTTCCAGAAAGCAAGCGCATCATCCAACTTCAGCCCAACTCCCTAACACGAAGAAATGAACCAGTGAGCAAAGTTTTCAGTGCAGCAATATACTTAGAACCAACTCCATAGGCTGCTGCATCAAAGGATTGGACAAATAACAAGTGAAAGCCAATGTTAACGGGTGGGGCAGCTTGCTGATGTTCCATATGAACTCCATGAACAGGCCAATGGAGTTAAGAAGAACCTTGAGAAAGAGACCCAATTGCATTCTCCCCCAGTGCTTGAGATGATGATCCTCTCTGAGCTGCCAAAAAGAACACAAAGAACCAATTGTAAAAAGCCAAGACCCATCAAGGCTAACGGTGGATGTAGAAACGTGATGAACTACAATCAAATGCAAATGCCAGCCATGTTCCTGGGAAAATAGAAGTAAACCAACAGAACAACTTACTTTGTCAAATAGATGGCGCATGCACAAGGGAAACGAGCTCTTGGCCACATTGTCGATGTCTTTCAGTGACACCTCACCAAATTCCCTTCCCTGCAAAGATGTCCCTCGTGGTTATATAAAGCTAAGTTCACAGACTGAACTCTGAAAAATAGTTGCAAGCATATACAGAGGTGTGAGAAGTACCACAGAATAGTCAGGACCCACGTAGCTCGTTGATAAGGCTTCCACGATCTAACAGAAAGCAACCAAGAGAATGTTCAGCAATGGAGTAAGAATTGATACCCAAGTGAACCTCCAGTAGTCGTGATTGAATACTCACAGGAGTTAACCTATCCTTCTCCTGTTCTCTAATGGTAGACATCCATTTCCTGGAAACATATATATTAAATTCATACGAGTTCAGGTTAAAATGAATACCATAGAGACAAACAAACATCTAATGTAGTGAAAAGTATTCTCAGGCTGACTCCATTCACCTATGGGCTATCATACGGAAAGCACTAACCTGTTAGTTAGAGTGAGCGCTTTTGAGAGAAGACTTCGAAACTGAGTGGCCACAAGAGACACGACCTAAAATGTGAAATAAGACTAGCTTAAATAAGATTTGAGGATGTCAATGTGGCAAAATCATGTACATTGGAGAAATGGCATTACCTGATTCATGGCGACATAAGCATACCCATCGCTTAGGAAAACTCTACGGCCAGCCACAAGTTCGGGAACTTCTTGAAATGGAACCTTCAGTAGAGGGTAATAAGTACAAAGGATATATCAATCACTATGAGAAGACTGACTTCATCCAGATTAAGGCAAAGGAAGGTTGATTCCTACACATATGACACTGTGATTGCTATAGTGTTATCTATTCCCTACTGCTTCCCTCTAAGCATTATCAAATGCAAGCACAAGATACGTCGAACTTGATCAACAGCAAGATGCCAATCATATGCAAACACTTCAAATCAAACCCCTACTACCCCAGGACATTAAAAATTAATCATATACCAGCTCTAACAGCTCGAGGAATATACCTTGTAAAATATAGCATCAGCTGTAGGTAAAGTTTGGTTGATTGAACGGGCAACTAGAGTCAGTTTGTCCTTTATAACCTGTCAAACAAAAGAACCCCATGATTTCACATTCACATTTTGGAATCGACTTAGCTTTGTGCTGAAACATGAATTCAAACGAGAGAGAAAAGGCGCCAATAACCTCGAACTCTGACGTAGTGACTGCCTTGTAAGGAAGTTGAAACTCAGCCAATACAGCCCTCTGTGAGCTTCCAACAAGCTCAGTTAGCAAACAGATTCTCAGAGAAACCACGAATAGAAGAAGGTTTAATGAAGATCTCATTCTTATCACCTGAGCTTCAGCCGTCTGAAGGCGGAACCTATAGCGGAATAGAGCCGTCTCCATGGAAAGAAACCACTTCCGTAAGTCCTCCCTGTGAGCAAGGATTCGGACACGATAAGCAAGGAAATGGAAGCAACAATAATCGAGAGAGAGGGCGCATAAACCATACGTTCTACAGTAGACAAGACGGAGAACGAAATGAGAGATGATATCCTTGTTCATGACCTCCGATGCTTGGGGATGCCTCATGTTTGCTTTCCACAGTTCAGCGACCTGCAAAGGGTAATCAATTAGAAACTCATCGAAAAAAATCCGATTTCAAAAACCTAATAATAAGCCGAAGATCCGGGCTACTGCTCTGACCAGTTTCTCCATTTCCTCGGGTCTCTTCCCGCGAGACAATCCATCGGAAATGCCCGTGAGGACTGCAAAAATCAAGACACCGGGAGTTAGGGAGACGAATCGAATCGAAAAATAAATAACAATAGAAAAAAGATGAAAGCGATGGCTATAAAGAAAGACCTCGGAGTCGATCTATGGCGTAGAGCTCGAAATCCTCGAGCCGAACTTCGAGAGATGGAGCCGAGCGGTAGAGCGGAAGAGTTGGAACGCCGCGATCGATTGCAGTAGACTTGAGTTGAGGACGACGAACTATCTCCATTCTTTCTCTCGCTGCTCGCTGGCCTAGTAATTTCACTCACAAGCCACGGATGAACGGAACGCCGGCGCCAGATGTGAGAATGGGGAAAGAGGGATGCAACTGCCGACGCTGACCAGAGAAAAGAGGGAACGATTTGGCAGTAAGTAATTCTGATTTTTTCCCCCGCGATTTTGGTCCCAGTATCAGTCGCGGCCAAAATGGCGCCAAGGGAGCGGCTGTATTGGCGGGAAAGGGTTCGGCTGGGGGGAAGAAGAAGTCGCTTTGTGGATTTTCAACGTGTTGGGATGGGGTTGGACTTTGGATCCTCCCCGGCCCATCTGCTCGATGAATTCGAGTCTTCCCAGGGTGAGAGCCCAGGTCTCTCAACTTGCATTCGTTTTCCATCTTAACTAAAAGTGGTAACCAAGGTTGTCAACTCGCGAGTCGATTCGCTAATTGACCCATTTTGATCTGACACGCTACACAGTTGTTGGGTCAACCACTGCAAGGTTATCGGTTGGAGGTCACATACTGTCACTTTTTCCTTTGCTTTGCGAAATGTACCTATTTTTCGGGTTTTCTCTTTGCCTAATCGTATTTTTGGAATTCTAAGTTGAACATTTGAATATTAATGTTATATAAGTATGTAAATTTTTACTATATGTTGGATCCAAGTACGACATATTTTTTTGGTGTAATGTTATATGTTATTATCCATATGTTATATGAGATTTGATATAATTTATAAGTGTATGAACAATATACTTATTTTTTTCACATATCCAGACTAAAGCGGTCAGACCATTAACCCTTAGCTCACTTGTACAAACGGGCCAACGGGCTAAACCGGATTAACAACCTTTGTGGTAACTTATCTTTTTCAATAAAAAAAAGAAGTGGTAACTTATCTTTCTTTAATATTAATAAATTTTCGTACAAAAACCATTATTGTTAATATTCCGATGAATTAAATTAATAATGAACTAATGTTACATTCATTATTTACAATTTTACATTATTTGTGTAAATCTTTTATTAACTTGTTATATATAGCTTAACTTTTAAATGACATGGATGATGCATTTTGACTCAATACTCATAGAACACTTCTATGTTTTAAAGTATTGGTACTTTTAAGTACGACTTGAAATTGTACCATAACATTAAAAGTACAACTTAGAAGTTATATCATAAGAAAATTTGACCTTTATCTTATAATACTTGTGACATAACATAAAGGTACAACTTTAGTTTGTACCATAAAGAGATTTGACAAAAGAGTACATGTACAATCATAGGCAGAGGCAAGGCATTTGGGCCTTGTCACGGGACATGGGTAAATTTTGGAGAAAAAAATACCCTATATATATTTGTATTGACGACGGAACATAACATGTATAAGTGGTATGAGAGTATTTTTGACACTACAACACAACCTATTACTTGTTCATCAATCGACATAAAATTAATTTATTATACTATAAATGAAATTCCAATTGCAGTAAAGACCTAATTAGATCTCTTTTCAGTTTTGACTTATATTAAGAACAAGTTTCCAAGTCAAATTGGAGATAATTTTGCTAATGATTACTTAAGAGTGTAGATAACGAAAGTTTTTGCGCTTCTTTCACAATATGAAATTCCATCGTGGTTTTTATGGAAAAAATGATTGTATTAGTTTTATGTTTTATCTATGAATGAATTATTTGAATATAATTAAATTTAATTATATTTATTAAAAAATTATATATTTATATTATGAAAAGAGAACAGAGGTAGTTTCAAATTTTGTCTCCGTCACTAGATACAACTCTAAATTGTACCATAACGTTAAATATACAATTTGAAGTTATACCTAAAACACTAAATTAACAATGCTTTAAATCATTGTAAAATTTCTCATACTCAGATTCAAACCAAATGCATAGACAATGCGCTATAATCCAATGCATGGATAAATGAGCTTATGGAATATTAAAAAGAAAAAAACGAAAAGGTAAACTTATCACGAGATTGAGTGGAGACCGGAGAGTAGTGGCATTCTGATGATTAATGAATGAATGGTTGTTGTGTCAAGTTTTCCAACCTAGTTATTCTGCTAACTTGAAGATTCGTTAGTATATACTAACTAATATCTAAAATGTATGAACTAATATCCAAGTTTGCTGAGTATCTAGATAGCACAGAGTAGTATTCAAAACATCACAAACTAGTATCCAGATAGCATATACTAACTAATATCCACAATCAACCAACTCGTATTCAATATGGATACTCTTATGTGTTATTTGGATACTCTTATGTATTATCTGGATACTAATTATGTGTTGTATGGATACTATTCTGTGTTGTCTAGATATTAGTTTGTGAATTTGGGATAATAGTTGATTCATGGTGGATATCAGTTAGTAAATTTTGAATACTAGTATGTGCTCTCTAGATACTTTAGTATTTGGATACTAGTTCGTGTATTTTGGATATCAGTTAGTATCTGCTAACGAATCTTCAAGTTAGCAGATTAACTTTAGCCCAAGTTTTCGGCCTTTTTTTTATAAAAATATGTTGAACTTGTACGAATCAATTGAACTTTTACTAATCAAAGTTTGCCTGCCACCTCATTATTCAACATAATCTTGTCAATAAGAAAAATAGGTGATTTTTCTAGCAAGACTATAAGGGATGATAGTTTTGCCATACCTATCAGGTATTTTTCTATCAAACTCAATTGGGTTGAGTATAAAATCCAAATAGATGGATAAAGGTAGAGTTTGATGGGTTTGTATCCGTACTCATTTTACTTGAGTTGGGTTAGTTTTTAACAAATGGATTTGCGTTTATACGCATGTCCAAATGCAAATTACAGTTTGATACCTAAACTAAGTATATAGATTTGGTATCTTTTTTTTGCATATAGGTCCTCAACATATTGATGAAAAATTACATTTTAGTACCTAAAACTTTTTGTTCTTACATTTTGGTACCTAAACTTTTCGAGTTTTACAAATAAGTCCAATTTTTATATGTGTAGTTAAAACACCATCAAGTAATTGGATATCCATATCCGACCCATACCCATTTAAATTATGGAAGCAATATCCATACCTTACCCAAACCCATCTACAAATCCCCAAACCCATATGCACTTCACCCATACCCAACCCATTATTAATGGATCTACTTGGATTTTGGTATAATTACTCATGGGTGTGGGTAATTGCCATCCATAAAGACTACCATCTTGTTTTCAAATGGGACATAATCTGCGCTGCCATGCTGCCTTCTTGCGGGGTGAAACGCCAAGTTCCACCGCCCAACTCCTTCCGATGCTTGATAATACTTTTGCATACCACACCCATCTCCAAGATCAGAGCAACTATATTAAGTTAAAGGGCCAATTATACTCCAAATTCTGCATCTAGGGTTTCGGCCATTTCAGCTTCCAATTGCTTAGAATATTTTTTGCAACATCTAGGATGAACTTGTCATTCTCTTCCCGTACTAATTTATATTATATTTAATGGTCTCGTCACTCATTATATTCAATGATCCAACTTGAACTACTAAACTAATCACCACAAACGAAATAAAATATATTTTAGTAGCAAACACAAACAATTTTGTAAACATCGTGACCAAACTTGCAATTTACTCTTTAGACTTCCAATTATATGGTTTGTTTTTTTTTTTTTTGACAAGAAATTAGACAAGCTATATGGTTGAGTTGGAAAAACAAAACATGGCTGGCCTTGAATGCGTGCGTCACGGTTCTCGTCTTATAGTAAAGATTCTTGGGAATGTGGTGTTTTGTTGTTGATTTTAGCATCACCTTGTAGGACTTCCCTACTAAAATTCAACTAGTATCTCTTACAAAATTCAATTTTTGTGCAATGGAAAGATGTCTCACACTTTGAACTTACCCCACACTTTATTTCTCAATATCAAATGCTAATTTTCGAATGAACAATGTCTTGACGGGTATATTTTTTTTACATTTTTCTAAAGCTATAGTTCACCATCTGAAAACTTTTTGAAAACAGGAGACTCCTTTGCATAATAAAAAATCTTTGAATAGGTCGAATAACATGGCATCCAACACACATCGAATGGTCATTATATCCAATTGATGAACTTTTGGTGTTGATCCTTATTGTAAGAATGGACATTGAATGAAGAAATCTAGATGCAGAAAGTAAAGAACACGACGATTTAACGTGGCTTCCCTGTTCAACGCGAACATGACTAGTCCACGGAGAGCTACGACTCTCAACTCAACTCTATCACTAGGTGTTTACCGGTTACACCATACACACTACAGTCGAGTCTAATATCCCTCATTGTTTACGCCTCATTAGGGTTACATTAGCAAATTACCAAAAGCTACTCTAACTAAGGCCTATAGAACTCAAGCACAGGCGTGAATGTCGTGAAGGCCAAGCTTGGAAGACAGGTAGGCGAATTGTTCAGCTCTCAGGCCTTTTGTGAAGACGTCAACAAGTTGGTGATTCGTAGGGATTTTCCGAGGCTCCATCACAACACTAGTAACACGCTCTCGGACGAAGTAACAGTCCATTTCCACATGCTTTGTCATCTCGTGAAAAATAGGATTAGCTGCTAATTGCTATAATCAATGCTGCTTGGTTTTAACAATACATGGGAGTAGCCTGTCGAATTGGGACACGAAGAAACCATCACAATCATATCACCTCACTCACTACATTTGCCATGGCGCGATATTTTGCTTCAGCCGAAGAACGGGAAACAACTGCCTGTTTCTTAGTTCGCTAGGAGATGGGACTGTTGCTGAGCGTCATGAAGTAACTCGTGGTAGAACGCCTCATCTGCTGACAACCCGCCTAGTCTGCATCACAGTATGCAGTTAAGCTAAGGGTACCTGTAGCAGGGAGGAAAATGCCCTTGCCTGGTGAACTCTTCAAGTAGCGCAAGACTCGATGTGCAGCATCGACATGATTTTGTCTGGGGGAATGAACCGCCTGACTCAAAATATTAACTGCATAGGTAAGATCAGGTCGAGTAACAATGAGTTAGAGTAATCGCCCAACTAACCTGTGGTAATATTTAGGATCTGTAGTTTTTGGTCCTTCAATGCGAGTGAGGTGGTGATTTTGTTCGATCGGAAAAACATGAGGACCTACGCCCGAGTCCCAGTATCGCTCAAAATATCCAGTGCATATTTCCTTTGTGACAAAAATTTCCCTTTTGAAGAACGGGTATTTTTATGTCAAAAA